TAGTTTAAAATAGATAATTAAAAAGTTAAAGTCGCAAAAAATCATTACTTGTTAGTTATTAACATAGGATTTCATGGGTTACTTAATAAGTATATTTGTGATTCATCAAAAAAAAAAAACTTAATAAGTATATTTGTATTATTATCATATCTTTTTATTTTCATTAATTATTATATTTTTTAATTTATTAAAAAAATATAATATATGAATATAATAAATAATTATATTAAAATAATATAATATTAACTATTTAAAATATAATAACTTCACCTATAATTAAAATGTGAAAAATAATAATGAAAATACTTAAATATTTTTTCATAAATTAACATATAAAAAATACTCAAATAATTTTATAAATAATTTTGTTATTTTAAATGTTAAAATATATAAACTTTTACCTAAATAATGTAATTATAGTCTTTTTTAATAAAAATAAAAAAAATTAAATCATAAAATATATAATAAATAATAATTACTTCTCCATTGCGAAACTGATCAATATAAAATAAAATAAAAATTAGCTCCGTAGTCAATTCTCAAGTCTTTTTGTTCCGGAAGACTTATATATTGACATGAGTGCCAAGAACAGTACTGACAATATCTACAAAATCCTATAAAATCTATTACTTATAAGTTGAAACTTCAATGATTTCAACTTCTCTAATCAGCAATCCCCTTTAAAATAATTCATCAAAGTATATATTTGTTTAGGTTAAATCTCTATTGTAGTCATTCTATTTTAGTAAAAAAACTTGAAATTTTCAAGTTTTTTTATTTAAAAAAAAATTATTTTTGATCCTTAAAATTTAAATTTTGGTTCATTTTTAATTTTTTCGTTAAATTTTACATATATAACACATTAGATAATTGAAAATTTAAAGCAAATAGATCAAAAGGGCTTAGAAAGTCTAAAAATAACCTCAATTTAGTCCATTTGCTTAAAAAAAAAACACTTTGTTTGTCTTTTTATTATGAAATTTTTATCATTTAACGTTAAAACTTAACAAAAATTTTTAAAAAAAATCAAATTTCAAACTTTAGAAACCAAAAATGATTTTTTTAAAAAAATAAAGAGACTAAAAATTTTATTTTATTAAAATAAATGGATCAAATTAAAATTTTAACCATTTATTTATTACACATTACTTGGAGATGGATAAAATGTTGGAATGTGGATGATCATTGTTATGCCTACATTATCTTATTCAAGTATACATGAGACTTACTGTCAGAACGTACTTGTACTGGTGTTCGAGGTTAAAAAGGATCGAGGATCCTTTTCTGACATCTTAACCGTCCATCAATTATTTGAACCAAAACCAGACCTATACAAATTTGATAAAAATGATTATGATATGACCAAAGATTAAGAAACCTTATAAGAGTGATCGTCGGTCCACCTCAATTACCATTGAATAAGGTATATAGATCATGATCCTAAAGATGGGTTTGTTTTAACTAATTCATCACCAACTCTTTAGTTGAATAAGTTTTACCCCATATATTTTTCTAAAAATACAACTTGTGATATTTTTTTCTCTTGGGGGTTGGCCACTTAACACAATTAAAAAAATGAGTTTAGTATTTTATAATTTATATTATAATAAACAAAACATTTATTATCATAATATCTTTTATCATTTTAATATTTTATTAATTTATAATATAATATAATTTAAATTGTAAAATATTTTTTTTATTAAAAAAATATAAGATAAAAGATGGTTAGGGAGTCAGCTGGGAAGAGAAGCAAAATAGCTGTCAGCATTCACCTTTGAGAAGGAACTACTACACAGGCGGCTGGCGTTAACCTGTCATGTGCAACGTGGGCGCCACTCCTCAGATCTTTACCTTTCCAAGCCACTATTCAAAGCCTCGAAGACTCGAACCCACAAATTGTACTACGTGGGCTCCAGCTCCCTAATGGACCGTCCTTCCATCCACTTCCTGCATTTGTTTATTGTTACTCACTGAGATAAAAAGCCCATTGCATTTTTACCAATAAAAATTAAAAAACACTCTCGCTAGCTCTTTCTCTAAGAATGTCAGTTTTTTTGCATATACAAATATATCATTACACTGAGTTGTTAAATTAAAAAGAGTTTTTTTTTTCTAAAATTTTTGGTTTTTTAATATATAATTTGAGGAGCATATTATTATTATTTTTTAAGTTTTTTAGTTTTTGTTTTTAAAGTAAATATTAAGAGTGTATCAATTATATATTTTATAATAAATTTCTATATATAAATATAAAAGCAAGTATTATTTTTAATACATATACTTCGTGGATGATTTTGTTGACAAATTAAATAATTTAATAATAATTTTTTAAAACTAAAATTTTATATATTTGAGAATTATTTTTTATTATTTAATTAAAAATAAAAATAAAACACTGTTTTTATATCATTTGGTAATAATTTAAATCTATAATATGTTTAGTTTCTACCATTAATTACAAATCACGTAAATGCAATGTGTCACAATGCCTAATCATTAGAAGAGTTTCTAAAATAGTTATAAAGAGTGTGGGCAACACCTTATTTTCGGTCTTGTTTTTCGTTACACGTTAAAGTCATTTTCAAGTGTAATAAGAGATTTAAATGATGAAATTTAACTTTTTTTGGTAAAAACTAAGGTTTTTTGGATTAAATGTGGAATTCATTTCTATTTTTATACCTATCAACTTTGGTTTGATAAAAAAAAAAAAAGTCATTTCAATCTATGATTCTAATTTTATACCATTGTAGGTTGTTTTGTAGAATTCATCTTAAATCTATAATATTCATATTTGGTTTTATTTAAACTACAAAATTAAATTCTAAAACTATAAATCATAGAATTAAGTTAAGTTAAATTAAATTAAAATTTGTCAAATTTGATGGGACTTGCTTTGCAAATGAATTCCACATTGAATTCATTTTAGTATATGAAATGATTTCTATTTTCATTTAAACAAAAAATACTTAAAAATTTGAGAAATAATTTTTGTACAACTTTTTTATCTTGTCTTTTTGTACAAACTTTTTATATTATTTTTTGTACACTTTTTATCTCATATTTTTGTACAACTTGATATGTCATTTAAATAATTGATTCTTTTAATTTATATGTATCCATAATATTAAATGTATTCATTTATTTAATTACACGTAAAAATTATATAAAAAATAATATAAAAATATTATTCTTATAACACCAACCTAAAAAATTCAAAATGTAAGAATTCAGTTTCACATTGAATTCATGAAGGAATTCATGAAGGAATTCATTTAAAAACGAAATGAATTTTTGATTCATTTGTACATTCAGACACATCTTAGAATAAAAATCAAAAGCCAATGATGACGATACAATCTTATTTTAAAACTAGATATATGGTTCACCAACTTGGCAAATTTTGCCATCCAATGTCAACCAATTAAGGATCGTGTTCTACACTTAATTAACCCTTTTTAGGGCGACCAATCAAAGTCTTGTGCTTAATAACATTGGTTGCCACAATACGACGCAAAAGTGCTAAACAAGCTCTCCATTTTTTGAAAACGACCTGTCGTTTAACGCAACAACACCATAAAAAGAATCCAGTCATCCAGATTAATTTTTAGGGTTGGGCTATATGAGTTCAGGCCCAACTCTCCAGATTCAGAAAAATCAAAACCATGTTAAACAGAGGGGGGGGTAAGATTATCTCCATCACTAA